TGGAGAGCTGCAGCAGACGGCGTGGGAGCCTGGAGAGCTGCAGCAGATGGCGTGGGAGCCTGGAGAGCTGCAGCGTGCGACGAGGGGACCTTGGAAACTGCAGCAGGCAACGAGGGGACCTTGGAGGTTGCAGCTGCTGTCATGGAGGCCTGTGGCTCTGCAGCAGACGACGGAGAGGCCTGGAGCTCTGCAGCAGACGACGGAGAGGCCTGGAGCTCTGCAGCAGACGACGGAGAGGCCTGGAGCTCTGCAGCAGACGGCGGAGAGGCCTGGAGTTCTGCAGCAGGAACAGGAACTTCTGCAGCAGGAACATGAACCTCTTCAGCAGGAACAGGAACCTCTGCAGCAGGAACTGGAACTACTGCGACAGGAACTGGAACTACTGCGACAGGAACAGGAATTTCTGCAGCAGGAACTGGAACTACTGCGACAGGAACTGGAACTATTGCGACAGGAACTGGAACTACGTCGACAGGAACTGGAACTACTGCGACAGGAACTAGAACTACTGCGACAGGAACTACTGCGACAGGAACTGGAACTACTGCGACAGGAACTGGAACTACTACGACAGGAACTGGAACTACTGCGACAAGAACTGGAACTACTGCGAAAGGAACTGGAACTACTGCGACAGGAACTGGAACTACTGCGACAGGAACTGGAACTACTACGGCAGGAACGGAGTCTTGTGCGGCAGGAACGGAAACTGGAACGGAACCCTCTGCGGCAGGAACGGAGTCTTCTGTGGCAGGAACGGAAACTGGAACGGAACCCTAAGCGGCAGGAACGGAGTCTTCTGGGGCAGGAACGGAAACTGGAACGGAACCCTCTGCAGCAGGAACGGAGCAGGAGAGCTGAGGAGCGTCGGCCGGAACCCCCTCAGAACAGGAGAGCTGAGGAGCGTTCGCCGGAACCCCCTCGAACAGGAGAGCTGAGGAGCATTCGCCGGAACCCCCTCAGAACAGGAGAGATGAGGAGCGTTCGCTGGAACCCCCTCGGAACAGGAGAGATGAGGAGCGTCTGCCGGGACCCCCTCGGAACAGGAGAGATGAGGAGTGTCTGCCGGGACCCCCTCGGAACAGGAGAGCTGAGAAACCACCTCAGGGGTGGCAGTAACAGGGATTTTAAAAGTCCCTATCTTAAAAAATAAAAAATCATACTTGGGGAGCAAAGAAAGACCAGGGATAGATAGTAAAAAAATCCTCCATCTGGGACAAAACGATATCAAAGGAAGACGGGTTAGTTTTAGCAGAATGAAATAATTCTAATAAGGTCTGATTAACTTGAAAAATCTCTTCAGGTAAAAAGGAATGAAAAAAGGGAATGTCTCTATTTGTGGGTGTGGTGACGGGTGCCGCCCCCACCGGAAACCTGGAAGGTGAGGCAGCGGAACACGCCCCCACGGAGTCACAAGGAATACGCTCCGGAGGTACGGCCAGGCTGGGTCGAACAGCCGCGGCGCGGAGTGGCGGTGAGAGGCCAGATTCCGCCCCCACCAGAAACCTGGAAGGTGAGGCGACGGAACCCGCCCCTGTGGCGTCAAGTGGACCGGACTCACCGAACCGAACAGGAGTGGACCGGAGCTCCTGCGGGACACTGGATCTCGACCCCACTGGAAACCTGGGAGGTGAGGCGGCGGACCCCACTCCCACAGAAACACCGGAACCAGCTCTAAAGTTCTGCTCGGCCGACGAGACCGGGTCGGTCGCCGCGGACTGCCTCCGGAACCGTCTTCTGCCACTATGGCGGCAGTGTGACGGCAGAAGGACAGGGACAGAGTGGAGCTCGTCCATCTTAACTCGCGGAGGGGAAAAGAAAAAAAGGTGATTTTGCCGAGAGAGACCCTGCCCGCTGGGTTCTGGTCTGGTCGCGTCGTAATGTCAGGATTTGCTAGGAGGGAGCAAACCCAGAGTGCAGAACAGGGACTCAACTCGGCAGAATACAAAAATAGGAATTTAATGATAAATAAAGTTGCAAAATAACAAGCTGACGGGGCAGCAAAACTTACATGAAATAAGAAGAAGGCACGGGAAACTCAGGAGGACTCAGGAGACACGGGAGACTCAAGGAACCAGGAAGACTCAGGGGGGAACACAGGAGACCCAACGAGTACGACGCAACAACGAACAAGACTCAACAGACGGCTTAAATACAGGGACAAGACAAGACGTGATAACAAACAGCTGGGAAGAGACACGGGTGGCACTAATAGAACTAATGAGGGAGCTCGAGGGAACACAGACACAAACCGGGCCACAGAAAGGTACCATCCTTACAGCTACCCAACTTTACAATCTTGCATATTTTTACGTAACTTAAGTTGTTTTCTGCTGATGTCCACAGATGTTCTGTTTAGGTTTAATAATATGTCCAGAAAAATGTGAACACATAAATCATCCTGTGCTGTTACTGTTCTGAATCATGAAAGGGTACTAGACATTGATGTTTAGTGAAATTAAATCCTTTACAATATATATCTTTCAGAAACAGACAGATACTCCTCATGCGGACGAGGCTGACCTAGGTTATCGGTGACTTCATACATGTCCTGGAAATCTTTCATCCTCAGGCCAATAACATCCACAAAGTCATCCATGAGACGGAACAGCTCTTTGATGTTGGGTCCCAGCTGAGGAAACAGACACACAGAACACACGTATGAAAGAAAAGGGATTATGGAAGTGAGATGGATATTCCTAAACCTAAAATACACAACAGGCTTTTTCCACAAAGCTTAGTTGGAGGTAAACATTGTCACATGGTTGCTATTTAAGTGTGCCAATGTTTTATAACCCTCACAGTGATGCCCAACACTAGTATTTGTACTCAAAAGTTCATGCAATGGATATATTTATTCGATAATAACATTTCAAGAGTGAGAAACATGCCCTGTTTACCAAAGATTTATTTTAATGTGCTTAATAACTCACATATAATAAAATATGTTTTAAACAACAAAGTCCAAGTTCAATAATCCAGGTATACAATCCAACATTTTTCAGTCAGGTCATCTGGACAGTTTTTTTTATTTTTTTTGTGCTGAAACGTTTCGCCTTCGATCCAGAAGACTTCATCAGTCAAGGAAACACACAACAAAACTGATTCTTCCCCCAACACACGTTTCAGCACAAAAAAAGAAACTGTCCAGATGACCTGACTGAGAAATGTTGGATATGTTTTAAACAGTTTCAAAACAAAATGAATTGATAATGACCTAATTGGTCAAGTTATATCCATCTATCTATATCACCTATCCATTTTAATATTATATTATCTATCTATCTTCCTACATCTGTGTCAGATGTTAAGAAACCAGAACATCTGATGAGAAATAAACTCCTGTAACAAAATGTTCACCATAATGTGTTCAGGTCTGTCTATGGTGGAGGACACAAGTGAAACTTTGAGGACAAATTGATGTATTGTGTCACTTCCTGTTTTCTCAGCCAGTAGCTCGAGTACCAGCACAGACTGGCAGGTCTTCAGAGAAGCTGCTGTAAATGAAGGTGAGCTAGACCTGGAGGAATACACATTCTCAGTCCTGGGGTACATTAGCAAATATGCTGATAACCTCAGCACCGTCAGATTTGTTAAGAGCTACTCGAACAAGAAGCCATGGCTGAATGCAGATGTTTGCACCCTGCTGGAAGCCAGGAACACTGCCTTCAGGACTGGCATTGGACAGGAGCTTAGAAGGACAGGGAAAGAACTGGTTGCTGATATTAAGAGGGCCAAAGCCACATATGCACAGAGGATCCAGGGTCAATTTACCTCACAAGACCCATGGAGCATGTGGAGGGGAATTAAGTGAATAACAGATTATAAAGGCAGAGGTGCACAATGCCCTAGGCACCCATCACTGCCTGATGCCCTCAACAAGTTCTATGCATGCTTTGAAGACACAAACAGACCACCCAGCACCAGACTCACCTCACGACCAGAAGAAGAGATTCTCAGCATGACCTTAGCTGAAGTGAGGAGTATTTTCAAGATGATTAATTCTCACAAGGCAATTGGCACTGACAACATCCCCGGGAAGGTGCTGATAGACTGTGCCGATCAGCTCTGTGAGGTGCTGACAAACATCTTTAACTCTTCACTCACCCTGGCAACGGTTCCAACTGCCTGAAGACCACCAACATCCTCCCAGTCCCAAAGAGCTCTACAGTGACTGGTCTGAATCACTATCAGCCAGTGGCCCTCACCCCGATAGTCGCTAAATGCTTCGAAAGACTGGTCATGACACACATCAAAACAACCATCAACATCAACGAGGACCCTCATCAGTATGCATACTGTGAGAACCGATCAACAGAAGACGCCACTGTGGTCCACACTGCTCTCACCTACCTGGAGCAGAAGGATTCCCATGTTCGTATGCTCTTTGTGGACTTCACATTTGCCTTCAATACCATGATTCCCCAAACCCTGATGGACAAACTACTCACATTAGGACTAAGCCCCTCCATTTGCAACAGGGTCCTAGACTTCATAACAAACACACTACAGTCTATGAGGATCCACAACTTCTCCTCCTCCACCATAACCTTTAGCACTGTCTCCCCTCAGGGCTGTGTGCTGAGCCCTGTCCTGTTCACTCTGCTAACGTATGACTGCGCACCTACCCATCCAGGCTGCCATGTTGTAAACTTTGCAGATGATACAGCGGTGGTGGGATGCATCACAAAAAAAAAAAAAAATGAGTCCAGCTACAGGCAAAAGGTGGAACACCTGGAGAGCTGGTGCAAAGAGAATAACCTTCACATCAATGTGAAGAAGACAAAGGAGATGATTGTGGACTTAAGAAGAAACAAACACACCAAAGTCCCCACCTCCACTAGGAATGTGTGAAATGGCATAAAATTCATATCACGATATGTATTGTGAAGGGTGGCTATAACGATATATATATTTTAAAAAGTTTTGAAAAGTCTTTTTTTTTTTTTAATTTTTATTTATCAGGAGAATATATAATTGACATTACATACATTATACAAAATTTACATGACTTCTCCAATTTTTTCTTTTTTTCCTTCCCCCTTTTCCCCCCTCCCTCCCCTCTTCCCCTCCCTCCCCTTCCCCCCCTTAACCAAAAACAAGACAAAATAAGGAAAGAAAAAAAAAAGGAGAGAGAAAAAAAAAAAGAAAAAAAAAGAGAGAGAGGGGGAGGAGGAACGAACAGGAGGGACCCAACAAACCAAAAGAAAAACAGTATTTCAGTCTTTCATTTATCCTCTAAAAACAAGTCACATGGTAATGTGATGAGTCAATCATATCAGTCTATACGCTATGAAGGTAAAGATTTTACATATGACACAAAGGGTGTCCACTTGTGGGTAAATTTTTCTGAACTACCTTTCACTGTTAGTAAAATTTTTTCCATCTTCAAGTATGATCTTACAGTATTAAGCCATTGTGATGTGGATGGTGGTGTGGGAGATTTCCAGGCGAGCAAAATACAACGTCTGGCAAGGAGAGAGCAAAAGGCCAAGACCTCCCCCTGCTGGCGGGATAGATTAAGTGTGGTCCCAGGAACTCCAAAAATAGCAATAAGTGGATCACTTTGAAACTGAATCTTAAAAACTCCTGAGAGTATGGAGAAAAAATATTTCCAAAACCCTTGCAGTTTTGGGCAGAAAAAGAACATATGACTTAAGTTGCAAGGTGAAGTCTGACATCTATCACACTGGTCTGGTATTGAGGGGAACATTTTAGATAAACGTGTTTTTGAGAAGTGTACTCTATTTATTACTTTAAATTGTATTAACTGTAGTCTGGCACATGGTGTACTCTGACGTATGCTGAGAATAACTTTATCCCACCATGAATCTGATAGTTTAACACCCAGTTCACGTTCCCATGCAGTTCTAGTTTTACCCGATGAATCGGCCTCTATTGCCATAAGTTTTCCATAAATAATTGAAAGAGGAGATTTCAAATTGGGGCTCAAAACTAAGAGTTCAACCCATGGTGGGTCAGTAGGCAAAGTTAGAAAATTTTGAAACTGCGATGAAACGCAATGCCTAATTTGGAAGTAAAGAAACAAATGTGAAGTGGGTAGATTAAATTTAGAAGACAATTCTGAAAAACTAAGAAATAAACCATCTTCGTACAGGTCTCTCATTGTTCTAATACCTTTCTCATACCAAATTCTATAGGCAGCATTATTAGATGCTGGAGAAAAAATGTGATTCTTTAGTAACGGCATTTTATTAGAGGGTGATACAAATTTAAAGTGGGACCTAAATTGTGACCAGATCCTGAGTGTTGAGAGCACTATAGGATTTGTAGTAACTGAGGATAATTTAATTGGTAATGATGAATAAATAATTGAAGCGGGCGAAAAAGATGCAGAAATCGACTGAATTTCAAGTTTACACCAAATCAGATCAGGTGAATTTAACCAATAAGTCAGTTTATGGATATGTGAGGACCAGTAATACATTGTAAAATTAGGTAGAGAAAGACCCCCGTTTGTGGTGAACTGTTGTAATAAAGAAAGTCTCATTCTGGGGGCCTTTCCGTTCCATAAAAAAGATGAGACCATCTGATCCAGGGACCTGAAGAACTGTTTGGGCAAGAACAGAGGGATATTTTGATATAAAAACAAAAGTCTAGGTAGCACATTCATTTTGATAATATTAATCCTACCAATCAATGAAAGAGGGAGAGAGTTCCATCTCTGTAAATCTGATGCAATTTGGGAAACTAGTGAGGCATAATTCTGAGAAAACATTGAGGGCAAAGTACGTGTAATATTAATTCCTAAATACCTAAATCCCGAGGGACTGAGCCTAAAAGGGATATCAGAAGGCTTAAGCTTTAAAGCTAATGAATTCACTGGATAGCATTCACTTTTAAGTGAGTTAATTTTATAGCCAGAATATGATCCAAATTTTTCTAGAATATTTAAAATTGGGGGAAGACTCCGTAAAGGGTCAGAGACATACAGGAGAAGGTCATCTGCATATAAGGACAATTTAAGCTCGACACCAGAGCGGACGATTCCATGAAAAGAAGAAAGGGATCTTAGAGCAACGGATAGGGGTTCAATGGCTAACGCAAACAAGAGGGGAGAAAGAGGGCAACCCTGTCTAGTACCACGTCCCACCGTAAAATAATCAGATTGGACGGAATTACTGAGAATACATGCTTGAGGGGATGTATAAAGTAGCTTGATCCAAGACACAAACCTCTCTCCAAAACCAAACCCATTAAGAACAGCAAAGAGATATTCCCATTCCACTCGATCAAAGGCTTTCTCGGCATCGAGAGAAATTATCACTTCAGGAGATTTAGAGGAATGAGTTGAAAAAATTGTATTCAACAGTGTACGAGTATTAAAAAACAACTGGCGACCTTTAATGAATCCATTCTGTTCTTGTGAAATAATCCGAGGGAGAACTGTCTCAAGCCGAGTCGCGAGTACTTTAGACAAAATCTTAAAATCCACATTCAAAAGTGAAAGAGGTCTATAGGACTCGCAGGCAGTAGGATCCTTATCCTTCTTTAACAGGAGAGAAATTGAGGCCTGAGTCAAGGTGGGAGGCAACAAGCCCTGCCCAAATGACTCATTATAAACCTCAAGAAGAAGAGGGGCTATTTTATCTTTAAATTTTTTGAAAAATT